AGTTGTTTAGGAGATTTTTCCATAATTTTATTACTTATTTCTTTGTTTTGCAAGATTTTTTTTGTTCCAAGATTCTGTCCAGAGTCTTTTAATGCATATTCGGCTTGCGTTCTTTGTATTTTGGTTTGTTGTTTTTGTTATTCTTTGTTCCTTTAAATTGTTTAGTTGATGTTTTTGTATATTTGATGTAGAATGTCTGATTAATTTATTTATTTTGTAAATGTTATTAATTTTATTAGTGGATTGTAATTATTTTTTAGTTGTAGGTATATCATGTGTTTTGGTTCAATAATGTGTAAATGTCGTCCAGAGAAACAAGCGGATCGTCTCAGCCGACCTTTTTTTTAGATTTCTAGCCGCCGCCGATTTTGTCGGCTCCCATCGGCTCAAAATCAGACGCCGAAAAATGTATTGTTCACTAAAAACAGTAAATTTGGGTAACAAATTACCTTATTTTGATTCAAAAAGAAACTTAGGTCACACTGGGATGTACTGCCTGCGGCGTGTTGTCTATAGTCCATATGAATTTTTTTGTAATTGTCTGTAATTGTCAACAGCTTATGTTGTTTGTTGCAGCGAACGAATACAAAAATTTTAGCACAACCAACCCCAACTCGTATGTTGTTTTTGTAAATACTATACTTGTATAATAACTCTAGCCTTATATTCAGTGTGCCCTGTGTCATACATTTTTTAATTTGAAGAACGAAAAATACCAAAAAGTTTGCTTTTATAGGTTCTTAATATTATGTTTCCAGGTTCAATTTTGTAGAAAATTCATAAAACTTTTTAAAGAACGTAAAATTCCAAAATGTACCTTTTAAAGGTCCTCATTTATCCCACGATCTTTATATTCAATTTCATGCTTCAAGATTTAATATTATACAAAACCTAGAAAGTACTCCATGCTTATTTTCATATGTGAAGTCAATACATAGTATGTAGTATATAAAAAAGGTACCAAAAAATAGGTACAATTTTTACCCCTTAAATGTTCGAATAAAAAATACTAAATTCGTATTTATGTTATTTTGATAACCCTTCAAAAATTGAGGCTACTCCGCACACGCGTGTAAAGAGTATTCCTCAAAGGACTAGGACTGGTCCAAAACTAGTCAAAATATATTGGAAAAACATAGTCCATTTAACATTGTGATGTCCTAATTGAGGACCACTTAAACCAACCATGCAGTACATCGGAGTAATCCCAAAACTACTCCCTTGGGATTACATGATCCGCAACATGGTCCCATGTTGTTTTCAAAAAAGGAAACATAATCTGTGCCTGCATTACATAGGATTACTAAACGAATCATGTACTCCAATAATATACATATAAGGAGGAGTAGTTTATGGATTACTTAAATGGATGATGTACTCCAATAATTTTTGCAGGGAAGTTAAGGAGTCTAACACATTTTTGTATTTTGACTGCTTTTAAAGAGAGATGGGGTGAATTACAGTACCAAAACGGGCCGAATTTGAAAAAAGTACCAAAAAGACCAATCTCCTGCTAAAATTTCAAGTCTTAAGCTTCAACCATTTAGGTTGTGTCAGAATTTTATACACATGTATAGATTGTCCACGATTAAATTCAAGAAAATATCATTTATATAACTATAAGTACCCCAACTTTTTTTGCAGACCAATTCGGCAACGGCATTTTGTCTTATTTTGGTGTTTCGAATGAGCCGCCGCACAGTGTCGGATTTTGCAAATTTAGGGGGACAAAACTCAAAAATTGTTTGATTACTTTTTGCCTTTGTTTGAATTCAATATGAGAGACAATTGTCCAGATAGTAAACAAATGTATTTAAAAGTAAAGAAATTTGACCCAAAACAGAATAACGGTACTCCAAAAGTCGAGTTTATTACAGAAAATTAAAACTAATTTTTACCTGCTGCATGTTCCCTAATTTTGAACTATTATAACTTTTTTGTTTTTGTTTTTTAAGTACCCCAGCATTTTTTTCAGACCAAGTCGGCAACGGCATTTTGTCTCATTTTGGTGTTTGAAAACGTATTATAAAGATAATAGTGGGTTAACACTGGAAAACATTAATTTAAAAAACGGTAACGACTTGGCTTTGGTTTATTTCAATAGCGTTGCTTTAGCAGCAACGGTATCGGAGCTAAAAGGATATGGTGGCAGTAACGATAGCATATGTTTTATTTAAAAAATAAACACATGAGTATATTTACTTAATGGTGTAGGGTATAATATGATCGGCGATATCCAACTATGCGTTCTTACTTGTAAAATAATAATAATTTTAACTTTTTTAAAAGACCAAGCCGAAATTTAGCCGCCGCCGAATTTTTTTCGAATGAGCCGCCGCCGAAAATTTTGGCTCGGCTGTATGTATGTATGTATGTATGTATGTATGTATGTATGTATGTATGTATGTATGTATGTATGTATGTATGTATGTATGTATGTATGTATGTATGTATGTATGTATGTATGTATGTATGTATGTATGTATGTATGTATGTATGTATGTATGTATGTATGTATGTATGTATGTATGTATGTATGTATGTATGTATGTATGTATGCATGTATGCATGCATGTATGTACAAAGTTTTACTACTTTGCAGCAAATAATGTACGTACTAAATTTTAATGGGAAACTTATTTTGTTATGTCATATTTATATATAAATTGATTATGTCTTATAAATTTAAATTTTTTTCATTTACAAAATTATAAAACTCGCGATTAACTCGTTTTGACTCGAATCGTGAGCGATTTCTATTTTACGCTCTTTAAATTTGCAATTCTTATTAATTTTTAAACTCGCGAGTCGAATAGATTTATTCGCGAGAAAATTAATTATTTAATTTAAATTCGATCGCTGTCTGTACCCTGTATAAAATTCAACTACTAAAAACTAATTTTGTTACGACACGTTTACCGCTGTAAGCTGGGGAAGCTCATCGGCGTCCAGGGTAGGTCAATAAAACACGTGTATTTACAAACGTTACAAAACTTTGCCGGGCTTGGAGCTCGCCGGATGGGGGTGGTTCTTGCTACTACTCTAGACATCTATACACACACAAAAAAAATCATACCAGCTAAAAATAAACAACCTAAAAATATAAATGGGCACCGAGTAGGTTTCTGTCTGTCTCCCTGATGAAATGTACCTACGAACTAGATATCTGGCAGATGTTGTGCCAGGTTAAAACCTCCCACTCGGGATTGGATAATCCCGCCATGACATCCTAATATTAGGGATGCCCCAAAATTTACCCTGCAAACTTTCCTTTCCCTACTTACCGCCGCTTACGTTATTTAACCGATCATTTTAACTGATTAAAACTTTTAAAAATTTTATTTAAACATTATAAAAGTTAGTCTTTATTATTGAAATTAATCTCAAACAAACTTTAACAAAAGATTTAGATTTAAACTTTAGTTTAGTTTTAATTTTAAGTTTAGTTTTAGGCTCTCAAATTTAGATTTAGCTTTAGTTTCAGGTTTAGATTTAGGCTTTAAATTTAGAATTTAAATTTAGCTTTAGTTTTAGATTTAGGTTTAAATTTAAGTTTTAAAATTTAAAATTTAGATTTAGCTTTAGTTTTAGGTTTAAATTTAAATTTAGCTTTAGGTTTAGATTTAGCTTTAGTTTTAGGTTTGGATTTAGGTTTAAATTTAGAATTTAAATTTATCTTTAGTTTTATATTTAAATTTAGATTTAGCTTTTGGTTTAGATTTAAATTTAGTTTTAGGTTTGGATTTAGGTTTAACTATATGCACTCAAATTTATGTTTGCATTTCAAAAGTTCATAATTTCGCTCGGGGATAAACCGGATCTGGCAATTCTTTTTCTGCGGCAACTAGCTGGTTTACGGGAGGCAATTATAGAGCGGGAAGAGTTCTTTTGGCGGATGAGGCTTTCCTGTCCGTCCGTATTAGGGTCCGTTCGGGTGAACCAGGTAAGTGATTGAAAATATATTTTAAGTTAACACACCTTTTAAATAATTTTGCTTGTTTTCACAGGTTTTTTTTGTTATAAATATATATGGCTAAGACCACCTGAGATCTCAAAATCACTCGTTACTTTGTAAGAGGCCTGAGCTCAAACGGAATGGATGCGATACGATGAATAATAGGTAAGCCTAGCAATACGAATATATATTTATATAGTCTAACCTTTCCTTTTTTTATAGAAAATTATTTAAAAAGGACACTCGTCCGGTCCGTCTTGTCGTCCGGGTGCAAACTCACAGAAGGTCGGAAAACCAAAACTTATGCCAGGACACCCCAGGCGTGGCGGTGCTGAAAAGCAGCTTCTCCCTCGTCGGATGGAGTCGTGTTGCAGTGGCTTTGCAGGTTTGTTTGTTTTGCTTTTGTTTGCTTTAAGATTTAGTTTCACGTTTAGTTTTAAGTTTTAAAAAATTTCTTGAATAAAATTTATTTAATTTATAAAAAAAATCAAAAATTTAGTTTTTTTTCTTTATGATGGCCACAGACTCCACCATCTTCTTCTCTTCGAGCAAAAATCAAAAAGGAACGACATTTTTCCTTTTTGGTACCGAGAAACCTCGGTTACCAACATGGCTTCCTAGCTTTAAAAACTTGTTCAGCAATTTGTTTGCCTATTTAAAATTTTTTTTAAAGCTATTTGTTTTTGTTCTCATTTCCTCTTCTTCTTCCCAAATGCAAAAAAAAAATCCCCTTATCTCATTATTGCCACCTGTTTTGTGTGCTTCTTCTTTAATTTAGTAGCTTTACTACAGGGTGCACACGACAATCCCCACCATTCCTGTTATCCATCCCTGGATAACCTAATGTTTTAAAACTTTTCTGGGATTTTGGGTATTTCATTATTCCCATACAAAAAAATTGCACTATGGCAACCCTTATTCATTCGAGAACTAAAGTACAACTCTGTACCGCCAAAAAAAACTACTCAGGCGGCGACGTACTGTGAACAGCTGCTTGAATGAATGGAAAAGGAGGAGGCAAATACGAAAAATAATACTACGCGTGGGTGAAGAAGAAGCACCCAAACAAAAAAATATCAATGGATACAACGAGGTAAGTAATTTTTTTGTTAATAAACAATAAAATAATAAGAATATTAATTTAAATAGTTTAAAATAATATAATATTTTTTTCTTTTGTTTCTTTACAGGTTCTGGTGGAGATTTATGGCCAATAAAGGGGATTTTAAACAAGGTAAGTAAAAGTGTTATACAAATGGAAATTTTATTAGTGGTGTTGTTAACTAATACAACCTAGGGTTCTATAAATCGACTTTCGAATAATCGAACAATCGACTTTTTGTCGAAAAGTCGAAGTCGACTATTTTGTTCCAAAAAAGTCGATTACTCGACTATCGTCTATGAAAAAAGTCGAAAGTTTGTAAATAAAAGTCGAAAAAAGTCAAAAAGTCAAAAAATCGGAAATTTGAAAAAAGTTGAAAAGTCGAAAAAAGTCGAAAAAAGTCGAAGAAAGTCGAAAAAAGTCGAAAAGTCGAAAAAAGTCGAAAAGTCGGAAAAAGTCGAAAAGTCGGAAAAAGTCGAAAAAAGTCGAAAAAAGTCGAAAATTCGAAAATTTTAAAAAAGTGGAAAAGAGGTCAAAAACTCTAAAATAGTCGGAAAAACTCGAAAAAAGTAAAAAAATAGTCGAAAATAGTCGAAAAAAAGTCGAAATAAATCGAAAATAGTCAAAAAGTCGTAAAAAACAAAAAGTCGAAAAGTCGGAAAAAGTCGAAAAAAGTCGAAAAGTCGAAAAAAGTCGGAAAATGTCGAAAAGTCGGAAAAAGTCGAAAAGTCGACCATTTATAAAATACTAAAAGTCGAAAAGTCGACTTTTAAATAAATGAAAGAGGTCGAAAAATCGACTTTTCATAAAATGGAAAAAGTCGAAAGGTCGAAAAGTCGACTTTTAACTAAATGCAAAAAGTCGAAAAGTCGACTTTTCGTTTCAACTATAGAACCCTAATACAACCAAATTTTTTTCTTTACAGATATCATGTTGGCGGCCCTGGGTCTATATAAAAAAACTTGATGGCCGATTCTGAAAGATGGCGGATCGAAGAAGAATGAAATGGTAAGTAAAAAAAAAGTGGAAATTATTTTAATTTCATACAAAAATTTCTAATAATTTTGTTTTAAATTTTCAGGTTTTGTTCCCGATGGGCCGGTGGACTCGGTATTAAGGTGGTTCCGGAAATTTAAGGTAAGTGTAATGAATTGTATTTGAAATATGAAAAGTGGACTTTAGTGAAAATTTAAATGTGGTTCGGTGCATAACAAAATTTGGTTACAGTGTGCGTTAAAAGTGTGAGTGCCGGGTAAAAAAAAATGTATCGAATAAAAAAAAAATTATAAATTTAAAATAATTTCGGTTCGGGTTTCGGAAAACGTGGTATCAGCAAAAAAAATGGAATTTACAGTGCGTGTAAAAAGTAAACGGACAAAAAAAATTAATTGAGAAAATTTTAAAAAAAATTAATTTGATCGAAATTTACAGTGAGTGTCAAAAGTGTACGGACAAAAAAAATTAAAAATTTTTAAATTTATTTAAAGTGAAGTTGGAACATACCGTGAGTAGAAAAAATAACCAAATAAAAACTAACTTTTGAAAAAAAACTCTTTTTCGTGAAACTTGTCAAAGTGTGTTGTTTAAGTGAAATATGAACAAAAACTTATACAGTGAGAACCAAAAGTGAAGTGGAAAAAATTTTTTTTTTTAAATTGTTTTTTTTCTTTTTTTTTTCTTCAAATACAGTGGGTGTAAAAAAAAGTGAACATTTTTAGTGACTGGATCTAATAAGTGAGACCAACGGAAACAAAAGTTTGAAAATTTACAGTGGCCATCAGAATTTGTGGCCAGTTAAATCTAAAACAAAATTATTTGTGTAAACAAAAATGAAGTGAACAGTGACCAAAACCTTTTGAAACCAAAACAAAAGAAAAATTAATAAAGTAAATATAAAAAAAATCAAACCAATCCTAAATGGATAAAAGAAAAGTGAAACTGAACTTATTTTCTCTAATTATAAATTATTCTGCCATAATTCAATATTAATAAATTTCCCATTTTTCTTTTACTTGCAGCTAATAAAATTCAATTGGACTTGGGATTTAGCCCTTGATTGCTGCTCCCGTTCAGGAAAGGTAAGTAATAACCTAAAACTAAATAATATAAAATGAAACCTAATTTCACTTATATTAAGTTTTTTCTTTATATTCACGACTTAATCGTAGGAATTTGGTAGAAATGTAAGGACTAAATTCACCAAAGCTCATAGACTAATATCTAGAGACTTTGGCGAGAATTACCCCTTACAATTTCTCCGGAAATAAAGGTAAAAAGATTTAAAAATTAAATTATAAAAAAATAATAGAAAGTATAATTTTCTAAAAGGAATAATAAATCAAAATGATTTGATTTTAGCTTGTAATTCAGTTTGTCCTTTTAGAAGATTACAAAAATCTAAATTAACTTTACTAATTATATTTTATCTATCTTCCACAGGTTATAAATTCAGATGGGACCTGGACCGGAAGACAGAAGGCGGTATATGGACCCCGTTGTTATTCTAAAAACGTAAGTACTAATTAATACTGAAATTATCTAAATCAAATGATTAGATATTGAAAATGACTTGTATCATCAAAATTTACTTTAGACCAAATACTAATTGTTTTGATTTTCCTTTCACAAGTTTTAATCATCAAATTCTTTGGTCATGATGAAAATCTACAGCCTCAACTGTAAGACCGAGAGGAAAATTTCTCCAATCAACAAAATTTTAATCGGTAAGTGAAAATTTTAAATTTCTATTATTAACATCTAATTTTAAGTTATTCTGTTTAGTCTAATATTAGATTTAGTATTTAAATAATATTTAAAAGCAAACTATAGATATTTTGCCTTATTTCGTGATCGTTAAGATCATAAAAATTTACATTAGAAAATAACCTATTTTGCCAGGAATAGTTCGTGTTGTGAGAACACTTACCGTAGCGATAGATTTCCCTGTTAACGAGTAACTCACGTGTTTCTACCCGAAATGCTTGTTGGATACTCGTCGCAGCTTTGCTCCCAGACAATTAAAATTGCTAAATTTTAGTCAGCGCTTAGATGACTAATAATTCCTAACCCTGAGTGCATGGTTCCAAAGGGTGCTATGGCGGAATTGCATCTATGACTAGCGTCTGACGATCACAACGTGGTCATAAAACGAAAATTAATAGATTTAGTCTGGTTGAGCACTCGGCGAACTACTCGTTAACAGGCAAGCTATCACAACTGTTTATTGTTCCACAACACAAATGAACTTCCCTGGTCGCAGGCTCTCACTAAAAGAAAAATAAACAAACAAACTGTTAAACAGAATCAAAGCAAAAATATCATTAACAAAATGTTTTGTGTAGAAAAAGTATCTACTAACTCATTTATACAAAATACAGAAAATAAAATAGGTTTTATCATTTTGGTTAGAGCTAGGAGTAGGTAGAATCGTTGGGACTAGAACCACCAAAGATGTTGAAACTATTGTTTCAAATCTTTGGCATGAAATACCCCCAACGATTTTCCTTGAAGGTCTTCAACCTCATATAGGCTATTACCAATAGGTCTTACAATTCGGCATTTTAAAAATTTCTTGGCTAGTTTAGCATTAAAATTATTTTTGAAATCGCTTTGCTGAAAGTTGCGGCGATAAACCTCTTGACCTGGTACAAACTTGACTTGACGGCAACGGGTATTGTATGTCTTCTCGTTTTTCAAATAAGCTTTGTGCAGACTCTCACGAATTTTGTGCCGTACTAAGTCCATTTTTACGGGTTTTGGTACTATGTCGATTTCCGGATCATGAAGACATTGTAGTTTCTTAGCAAGTTTATATACACTTCCGTGCGAAATCATGTTCATACCGAACAGTGCGAAGTACGGCGTAACTCCGATGGACGTTTGGACTGACGAACGCAACGAAAACTCAATTTCGGATAGGTACTTATCCCACTCAGTGTGGTCCTCCTGCAGGTAGGAACGAATTGCGGACAAGATGGACTGGTTAACCCGTTCCGAAGCGTTGGCTTGTGGCGAGTGTGTGGCGGTTTTTACATGCTTTACGCCAAAATTCGTTACCATATCCTGAAAGTCTTTGCTAATAAACTGCTTGCCATTGTCGGACAGAATCGTCTCAGGTGTACCAAATTTGTGGAACACTTCGGATATTAGAAACTTGATGACGTTTTTCGTGTTAGCTTTGGGCATAGCTTTGAGCAGTACATATTTCGTTAGGTAGTCTAGGACGATAAATAGCGTTTCCGTTTCTTGACCGCGGATAAGGACATAAAAAGTCTATAAAAATCTTCTGGAACGGTCGTTCCGTCGTAGATTCAGCTCCCATTGGTGGTCTTAGGATCGAATTCGCGGGTTTTGTCTCGCGACAGGTTTGGCAATTGGCCACAAATGATCGGACCTGAACATTCTGGTTGGGCCAGTAGAAATATTCCCTTAACCTTCGGAGCGTTTTACCAAAACCTCCATGAGCGGCTTGAGGCGGATTGTGGCACTTCTCGATGACTTCTTGAGTAAGCTCTAATGGAACCCATAACTTCCAAGCAAAATCTTCGTTTAGCGGCACTCCGTCATATGGGAGGACCCGCTTGTAAACCAGATCATCCACGACCTTCAAATCTGGCAGGCTTTCAGCGTTTTCCTTGATTTTGGTGATTAAGTCCAGGTAACTCAGACTATAAATCTATTAAATCATTTACCTCCACAGATACTTCCTCCATATTCGTGTCGGGAACGATATTTTTGGATCCGGGCCGGTGTTCGATGGTAAAAGTAAAGGCCTGTAGATGTAAGCTCCATCGGGCTAGTCTACCACTGAGGTCTTTGTGGGACATAAGCCACTTTAAGCTGCTATGGTCCGTGATGACGGTAAATGGCAAAAGTTCTATATAAGGCCGGAATTTCTTAATGGCCATCACTACGGCCAAGCAGTCTCTCTCGGTAACCGAGTAGTTCTTCTGTGCACTGGTCAGTTTGTGAGAGAAGAAAGCTACTGGATGTTCGCCGTCGCTTTCGTCCTTCTGGAACAGAACTGCTCCCAAACCTATGTCTGATGCGTCGCATTGTACATAAAAGTGCCTGTTGAAATCGGGATGCATAAGCACTGGTGCTGTTGTGAGAGCGGACTTTAGCTTATCGAAGGCTTCCTTGGCTTCGTCCGGAAAGTTGAAACCTTTACCGTTCTTAAGGGTGTTAAAAATAGGTGTTGATATGGTAGCGTAGTCCGGGATGAAGCGCCTATACCAACCCGTAGCTCCCATGAAGCTTCGGACCTGTTTGGCAGTTTTTGGGTAGGTATATTTTAAAATCGTATCGATCTTATCTGGGTCAGGTTTTAGCTTCCCTCCTCCTACTATATACCCTAGGTACTTCAACTCTTTGAAGCCGGTGAGACGGGATAATGCCTGTCCTTCACTGGGATCGCGTCGCGGGTATCGATTGTATGGGTTTCGAGAGAAGTCTGACCGAGTCCCTTCTTTGAGAAACACGTGAATTTTGCTACCACCCCGTCTAATGCTGCCTTTTGCCCTGGAGTAAGACTATGGGTTTTAATCATATCCTTCGTCTCTTCAGACTCCGGACACAAATTAACTCCATTGGTAGTAATGCTGTACAGACTAGGGAACAAACCAAAACTTTTCATAAAATCTACCCCTAAAAATAGAGGCCTATTTAAAGTAGGTACTAGATATAAAGTCACTTCATTACAACAATTATTAAAATTAACTTCGGTTTTTACTCGACCAACGTCGGCCGTCTTTACAAAGGACAAAAATTTAAGAATTTGAAGACCCGATTTCTCCACCAACACCATGCAGCCCTTACCCAGACAAGAAACGGTGGCTCCACTGTCTAACAGACCAATCAATCTCATTACCATTTATATTAATTTTTAAATAAAGCCTAGCATCTTTCCCCTCATACAAACTCGTAGACAAAATTTCCTTCTTGACCCTTCTCCTAATCTTATACCTAAGTCTAGCTTTTCTTATTCTATTCGATACCTGACCGAAAATCCTAGATCTTGCTTCAGCGTATTCCCGAATCCTTTGATGAAGCGGTTTAATTACATGAACTTTAGGTTGTTCATCGGCAGGCATTATGCGTACAGTATTCATTAGAATTTTAGTTGGTCTAAATTGATCGATACGAGGGTCAACCGGGATTAAGCTAGGGTTGAACGAGTCTCCCCCGTTTGGGACTCGTTCCCCTTCAGGTTTCCCTGACATTTAGGGCACTTAGGCGTGACTACATCAGCCCTACCACATCTAAAACAAAATATGCGTCTATTAGGTGAAGGACAGTCCATGAAACTATGGCCTGGCTGCTTACAATTCCAGCAAATATACCGGCTACTAGTGGCTAAGGCGTCGATTTCGAGGATTGGTATAGGCACTTCATCTCCAAACTGCAGTTCATGGACTCGAGCTATGGCGGGTTGTCTAGACTGAAAAGTCTGCCTCTGACTGGTGATTAAATTTTCAGCTCTTTTCGCCTGTTGACAAAACTCATTTAGACTGGAAGTGGTCACGGAAAATAGCAAGTGCGACAAAGACGGTTTCAGATTACTTTTCATAATCTCCACTAGGTCTCGTTCCGAATAGGGATTTCGCTGTTGATTTCTTAGCTTCATCACACCATTGTAAAAACTCTCAAAACTTTCCTGAGGCAACTGGCGTCTGTCCATAATTTGTTTCTGGAGCTGGAATTCGCTTTCATAACGCTTAAACTGGGTCAGAAAAGCTCTAACCAACTCTTCCCAGGACTGTATTGCTGTGAGCTTCCGCAAGTTCCAGTACCAGTCCAGTGCTGGCCCTTTCAACAATACATGAAAACTTCGTAAAAGCTCATTGAAGGAACAGCTGTAATCCTGCCTCAAGACATCAACTCGGAAAATGAAATCCTCCGCACTCATAGATTTCGTCGACCCATCAAATTTTATGCCCCATTTGTCCAAATCTACCTTCCGCTGGGTGGAAAATGGGTGGTCGTTTGGCAGACTAGGAGCTTGTGACGATTGAGCTGTTGGATAAAGTGGATTAAATCCTGGATTTGGCGGTGGATAATACGGCTGCTGGCTAACTGCTGGACCTTGTGTCGGCTGAAAAGCATATGGCATCTGGTTGTTATTAACAGGTATGTTCATTTGGGATTGTGGTTGTATATTATATAATAAATTATTCTGTTGTTCAACAGGTGGTGGTGGCACCGCTGGCTGTGGAGGTGATGCGTGTGAAACAGCACGTGATATGGCTTGAGAAAGTTCCTGCCGTATAGCTTAAATTTGTCGCCTCATTTCCTCCCGTATAAAATTACACATATCGGCTGTAGCTTCAACATTATTAGCCGGCTGAGGAGCTGTAGGAGGCACACTAGCACGAAATTCTTGCTGCACATTTCTGGCGGTGATACTGCTATACTCAGGAGAGGTTATGGTACTGTTTGAGATGGCAGACTCATTATGGGAACCAGAACGTTCATGGGCCATTGACATAAATTGTTGGACTGCTGGCGTAACGGACGACGTAGTAGTGGTTGTTGTAGCACTGGTACTGGCGATAGTATACGTCGGGTGCGAAGTGGAAACTACAGTTCCTACCGTGGTTCTATGGACGTTCTCCATATTAGGAGTGTTTCTATTGTCAGCTTGCGAACGACTTCTAGCTGAGCGAGTTAAAACCATTCCTAGCAGACAGTATGCGGAATGACCAAATGATACAATCACTACTCACACAAAATGATAAAACGACCAAAATTGATATAATAGACCGCTAGTAAAAAAATAACTATTTATCTCTATGATAAATATTAAGCTAAAAATTTAAAAGAAATTCCTCCTCTTTTCCAAAGGAAAACAAAAAAATCATTTCTAAAGAAAGGAAGTAAAGAATCAAAAAAAAATAAATCTAAAACGTTCGTAAAGAAAAAGCTAAACGTTTTACAAAGAAAGTTAAAATTTCAATCCAAAAGGACCAAAGATAAATCTTGAGATCTCTTCAAAAACTAACTGAATCAAAAACTTAACATCGGCGGTGTATTTCAGGAAAGTAAAGTTTGCAGGTAATGTAAAAATGTATCATTGTTCGTAGGTATGTTTCTAATTTTTTTTTTCTATTTTGGTTTCAGGAGATGCAGACAAGGACAGAAGTCAAATGGATAAAAAGTTTAGTATTTGTTTCCCACAGTAAAATGTTTATAGGTGCAACTAGAAGATGGTTAGATAACCTAGAACTCCTAGGACTACCCTTAGTATTTCATTGCGGATAAAATGTATGTTTTTAAAACAAATACTCTATGGACTATTGTTAAAGAGGGGGCTGGCCTTAGCTATTCTTTCTTCACAACTTGAGCATTCTCAGATTTGCTATGGAAAGCTATTCTGAGACCCTCAAATTGTTAGGAAAGGATAGGCTAAAGAATCTATAATTCTGCATGACCATATTGTTCACACCACACGTCGCAACGCGAACTAGACTAAAATTGTCCTGTTGTCCGGGACTTACGTAGGTGTGTACAATATTGACCATGCACAATTATAGCTTCCCATCTATTGAAATGGAGAAAAGTAAAAAAAACTAAATTTATTACTTTCGTCCGACGACGTCGCAACAATTAGGGACTCTAGGTATGACCTAACAGGACTTACGTTGACATGACTAAATAGGATTAGAAAACTAACTAAAGATCAGGCTATGGACCCATTCGGGCCCCACGTTGGACGCCATTTATGTGGTGTAGTGGTGATGTATGTTTGGTATGGTATAACCATACCAAAAGAAACTGGTGTTGCCAGAGTGGTAGCGGCGCTGGTATGCTCGCGTTTGCCGGGCTTGGAGCTCGCCGGATGGGGGTGGTTCTTGCTACCACTCTAGACATCTACACACACAAAAAAAATCATACCAGCTAAAAATAAACAACCTAAAAATATAAATGGGCACCGAGTAGGTTTCTGTCTGTCTCCCTGATGAAATGTACCTACGAACTATATATCTGACAGATGTTGTGCCAGGTTAAACCCTCCCACTCGGGATTGGATAATCCCGCCATGACATCCTAATATTAGGGATGTCCCAAAATTTACCCTGCAAACTTTCCTTTCCCTACTTACCGCCGCTTACGTTATTTAACCGATCATTTTAACTGATTAAAACTTTTAAAAATTTCATTTAAACATTAGTTGTGTTTTGTTGCTA